GATCTGTGCTTCGAATTTCAATTCCCATCTCCCCCATAACATTTGACCCCCTCCCCCCATTTATTTACCTCTGCCTTAAAAATATTCAGTGACTCCTCTTCTGAGGCACAGAGCTCTAAAGTCAAACAAAAGTTTTCCTCAAATAAAAGCCCATTCAGCACTGTGGGGATACTGGAAATTGGAAACAAACATGGAGAATGCTGGAGAAGCTCGGCAGGTCTGGCGGCATTGATGGAGATAGTTAATGTTTTGAGTCTTTGGTTCTGAAGAAGCGTTATACTGGACTTCAGATTCTCTGACGCGACCTTCAATTTTAAAACGGTGCCCCCCTTGTTCTGTACTGACGCACAAGAGGAAACGCCTTTTCCACATCCACCTTTGTCAAGCTCCTTTCCTCAGTCCTTGACTGTTGGGCTCAAACCCTGGAGTGGGACTTGAACTCAGAACCCTGTAGCTTGGAAGCAAGAGTGTCACCCACCTAAATGTTCAACTAAGACCGATGTGTGCCTTGAAGGGGAACTCTGAGATGCTGATGTTTGCTCGCATGCTCAGTTGTTGACCTTCTAGCTAGTGGAGGTCATGTGTTAGGAAGATTCAGTCAAAGCAACCTCGGTGTAGAGCAGGGCTTCCCAAAGTTGGCATCCTGAGCTCTGACCGAGTCCCAACAGCTGAGCGGCCCCTTTAAATCGTAGAATCACTGCAGTGTGGAAGCAGGTCATTTGGCCTATCGAGTGTTCACTGACCCTCCGAAAAGCATCCCACCCTATCCCTGTAACCCTGCATTTGCCATTAGCTAATTGACCTAGCCTGCACATTCCTGGACTCTACGGGTAATTTAACGTGGCCAATCCACCTAACCTGCACATCTTAGGACTGTGGGAGGAAAGCAGAGCACCTGTAAGAAACCCGTGCAGACATGGGGAGAATGTGCAAACTCCACACAGACAGGTGTTGGAGGCTGGAATCGAACCCAGGTCCCTGGCGTGGTGAGGCAGCAGTGCTGACCAGTGTGCCATCCTCTCAGCCATTCTTTTATAATGGACGTGGCCACAACTGGCTGAATTTTTTGAGGCCTGTTGGTATGTTTTGCAAAATCCTGTGGAAAAGATTTTCTGAAGAAGGGTCCCGACCCGAAACACTGCTCCTCTGATGCTGCCTGGCCTGCTGTGTTCCTCCAGCTCCAGACTGTGTTATCTCTGACTCCAGCATCAGCAGTTTTTGCTATCTCCTGTGGAAAAGTGGGTCCTTTTTCACTTAAAATCTCTGTGAATTAAACCGTTCCATTCCCGATTACATCCCCGATTACATACCCCAGTCTCATGGATCTCTTAAATCTTCCAACTACCCCACGTCACCTACCCCACTCTCTGTTTGGGTTAAGGCAAATTTTGGACAATAAAATGGCATCAGAATTAGGAGACATTTGGGAAACACTGGGGTAGGGTGGTCACAAAGGGCTGGTCTCTGCTCTGTAGAGTTGTATGTGGACCCCCAACCATCTGATGTCCAAACCACATGTCCGAGTCTGTTCTGCAGTGTGGGAGAGTCGAAACCTGCCATGAACACAAGTGAGGTTTGTTGCAGTTATCCCTAGAGAGCAACCAGGAACTGAGATTCTACGGCCAACCCAGAGATGATTAGTCTGATGCTCGTGGCCAAGCATCTAGCACAGGTGAAATCTGCCTTGTTCACTTTCAGTTCCCTGTGTTCAAAAGAGACCTGAAAAGTCCCCTCCTTTTTAGGCACTGTCTGTTTCCTTGTTCATTTCCATTCTGAAACCACAGGCACCATTTGTATGCAGACACCTGGTCTATCACTAGCTTCATGTCAGTTTTGAGAGAGTTTCCTGGCAGCTTGGATAAAACCTTCCTGCACCCTGTGTACATTTGACTTTGTCCTCTGCCTTACGGGAAAATGCCCTCTTCTTCATAGTCTTCTGGGCTTGGGCGCTTGCCAAGCAGGAATTGAGTGGGCTGATTGGCATTCTGCCAGCATTTAGTGTGGGCTAGTGTTTCAACACTAGTGGGGAGCCTGTCATTTTATCCGTTGCTTATTGTCTCTCCATTGTTGCATTACATCTCCCCCTGGAATATTTTTTTCAATATGACAAGTAGCAGATCTCCTGACACCTGCAGAGAGATACCTGTGAACAACCTTCCATTAGCGTTTCATGTCAAAATTATTTTTCTCTTTCTGCTGGGGAGCTGCCTGTAGCTCCCTCTCTTGTGATTTCTCTCGCCTACGAATCAAAAGGTCGTGGGCTCCAGCCCCTGTCCAGACAACTCCATATCTAAGCCGACACGCCCAGTGAATATTTGTGGGAGTGCTGCACTGTCTAAGGGGCTGTACCTCCGATCAGGAATGAAACCAAGACCCTGTCTCTGTCCTATCACGTGGATGTAAATGGTAACATGGCACTGTAGAATCATCATCATAGAATCCCTACAGAGTGGAAGCAGGCCATTCGGCCCATTGAGTCAACATGTGTTTTGAAGCAAGGCAGAAGAGTTCTCCCCTGTCTCCTGTTAAGGAAGGTGATGGCATTGTGGTAATATCACTGAATAATCAGAGGTCCAGGCTAAGCCCAGGTTCAGATCCCACCATGGAAGCTGGTGAAATCTAAATTCAACAAATAAACCTGGACTATAAATTTCAAATCTGTAACCATGAATCTAAATCGATGGTTGTCGAAACTCATCTGGTTTACTAATGTCTTTTCGGGAAAGAGGTCTGCCATCCTTACATTGTCTGGCCTACACATGATTCCAGACCCACGGCAACGTGGTCGATTCGCAACTGCCCTTAGAAAAGATTTGCCAGGATCTTGCTGGGAATGGTGGGTTTGAGGTATAAAAATAGACTGGGACTTCATTCACTGGAATGTAGGAAGTTGAGGGATGACTGTATTGAGGTTTATAAAATCATGAGGGGCAGGATGAGGTGAATGACATGGGTTTTCCCCCCTAGGATGGGGGAATTCAAAACTAGGGGTCTTTTTTTAAGGTGAGAGGAGAAAGATTTAAAAAGGACATGAGGGGCAACTTTTTTACACAGAGTGGTTTTTGTGTGGAATGAACTGTCAGAGGAAGTGATGGATGTCGATACAGTAACAACGTTTAAAAGACATTTGAATAAGAACATGAATAGGAAAGATTCGGAGGGATATGGACCAAGCACACAGGTGGGACTAGTTTAGTTTGGGAACATGGTCGGTATGGACTGGCTGGACCATAGGGTCTGTTTCCGAGCTGTATCACTCTATGACTCTGTGATGGACAACAACTATGTCTATGGTACCCCCGTATCCGTGAAAGAATGAAGAAAAACAAAACATGCCTTCACTGCAACAGGATAGATTCTGTCTGGTTATTATCAGGCTGCTATTTGTAGGATCTTGTTGTGTGCCATTTGGTTGGTGGACTTCTCTTGGTGACTACTCTTCCAAATTCTTCATTGGCTGTAAAGAGCTTTGGGGTGATCCTTGGTCATTGAAGATACTTCAGAGGTCCAAGTCCGCACTTTCTCCAGTGAACGTGATTTGATTGGCTGCTCTGATGGCTCGCAATCTAATGTCCTCTCATCGCTAGCAGTACATTTGAGGAAGTTTTCCTTGACCTACTGCTGGCCACAGTGGGCCCTGGCATTGGGAAGAGAAAACCTGCCGTGAATTGTATTGCCTAGATCACCTGCAGTTATGAGTGAAGAAGACTAATCATCCCACACCTAACTCCTCTATCCTGCGCTCCTCATTTGCAGCATCTAATTGTTCTTCAAATGATCCCAGTGCTTTTGCCTCCTCCTGTATTCTGTTTCGTGTGTTAATCTCTCCTTTGAATGAAGAATAATTTCTCGACCTCTGTGCTAAATGAACTGTTTATAGTTCAAGCCTGTCCCCTTGACCTACTCTCTTAATTTAATTTAAAATTGACAAGCCGGATTTACATTTACCTGAAACTTGGGTTCCTATAAGAGCTTGGATCTCTCCTTCAGACTGAAACACCCCTGGGTTTCTTCAGTGTTTTTTTCCCCCTTGTAACTCATTGTGAGATGAGGGTTTAGTTTTCTTTGGACTGCTTCCAGGTCACAGCAGCAGCTATTGCTGGAGTTGTGTCCGTGCGGGTGTTAGCTGAGGGGACACCCATCTTTCAGCTGTCACCGAAAGGTGCCTCACAGTGAGCTGTGAAACAGGCTACTGCTGCCCTGGGTCCCGATGGATGGAGACTGTGGAGTCAGGAAAGGAGGAGAGGGAAGGAACTTGACCTGCTTGAGGATTCTGTGTTGTACTGTTCAGAAAGTATATAATAGAGTGATTAAAGGCTTCCTAAAGATCCCAGCAGCGATTCAGAAGAGGCTGGAGAGGCACCAGAGTTTTTCTTCACTTTGTCTTTGGCATTGCTAGCGATGCTCACATCCAGTGAAATTGACTTGCTGTGTTGTTTTAGTGTCCAAAAAGAGAAACCAGGAAGATTTGCAAGTGAAATATTGACACGACCAGACTTGTATACCTACAGTTAGAGTTCCAGTAATACATTCATTTCTAAGTATTGTTAGTTTTTCCCTGTGTGGGGGTTTGGAGGGTTGGTGGGGTTGAGAGTCAACCATATTGTTGTGCGTTTGGAGTCACGTGTAGGCCAGACCAGGTAAGGATAGTAGATCACCTTCCGAAATGAGTGTTAGTGAGCCCGGTGGGTTTTTACAACAATCAACGATAGTTTCATGATCACCATCACTGAGACTAGTTTTTTTATTCATTAAATTTACATTTCCCCAGCTGCCATGTTGGGATCTGAGCCAAGAAGGCATTATCTTGGGCCTCTGGATTTTTGGTCCAGTGGCCTTACCCCTCGCAGTTGTCTCCCGTCTATATATTGCTGTGTAAATGCCTGGTATGAAAACGGGACTGTCAAGCAAAGTGTAAAAAATGGAAAGGAATTCCTTTAGCTTGCTTTCACTTGGGTTGGTTTAGATTGAGCTGTGTTTTTTTTCTCCTGTTTCTGTAGGAACTGCAAAGATGAATCTGTGGATTTAACTGCGATCCAGACCATGGAAATCTTGTGGACACTTTATGGAGAAATGAAAAAGAAGTGTGTAAGTTGGAACTTGCTGTCTTATTTACACTTGTGTCTCCGTGCAGGCAACCAATGTATGTGCTGTGTTTGGCCCTCTCAACAGGGCAGGTTTGCTGTCACCGTCCTGTTTAATTATAGGGATTTACAGGGAACGCTTGGTCGAGTGTGGTAGAGGAAAACTAGCTGGTAGTCTTAAGGAGAAGTTGTTGTTGTCTTAAACAAGATGCAGTTTGTTGCATGTTAGTAACCAATTACGGATTACACTGATATGATTGCAGTTGTTACAGAGACTACGAAGAACTCCTGGGTGTCAGGTCTGACTCCCCCAAGATCCTAAGCTGTTCTGCCTGCAAGTCCAAACGATATCATCTTAAGATGCTTTGAGGACTCCTCAGTATTAACCCTTTCGGATGCATTCTCCTTGAGGCAATATCTGCCACAAAACTTTCTTCTCATTTTAGATGTTATGCATTTCTGTATATAGCTGTTCGTAGAATCCTTACAGTATAAAAGCAGGCCATTTGGCCCATCGAGTCCACATTGACCCTATGAAGAGCATCCAAACCAGACCCACCCCCACTACCCTATCTCTGTAACCCTGCATTTCCCATAGCTAACCCACCTAACCTACACATCCCTGAACACTATGGGTGATTTAGCATAGCTAATCCACCTAACCTGCACATCTTTGGTCTGTCGGAGGAAACCAGAGGAAACCACACAGACACAAGGGGAATGTGCAAACTCTAGACAGTCACCCGAGGGTGGAATCGATCCAGGTCCATGGCGCTTGGTAGATCTCTCGGTTGGAGACTGACTTTGATTTGTTTCCTGACGGTACGAGGTCTGTAAGTCCCTTGTGTTATCCACTTCCTCACTGGGGTCGTTCAGTTGAGCCGGATTGGCCGATTGAACCACAGTGAGATGGGGTTCCTGTGATTCCTTCGTATGACCTCTTCAGCTGAGCAGTGCAACCAGTGTACGATCTGCAGCTCCTTGGAAGATCGAACCTTTCCTCTAAGGATACCTTATCCACAATTGTAGCCCCTGACCCAAATATGTCAACTGTCTTGCATGGTGATGTCTATTATAGTGTGTACCAGTTGTGCCCAGTAGAGATGCTCCTTGTTAGTCCTGTGGTTGTAAATATGGAGTTAACCACTTTGGAAGTATAGTGAGCTGAGTCTTCAGCAATTCTAGTGGTGGATCTGTAATTCAGTGTTGTATAGAAGTCAACATTTTGAGGAGCAACGTTGTATATTGTCTGATTTAATTCTCCCCTAAGTCAGAAATGTGTGTGTGGTGTGTGTGTGTGTGTTATGGTTCCAAAGTCATTGATTGGGTTTTGGGAAATTAATGGTGGTAAGCTTTTATTACATATTCTTTCATGTGAGTGTCCATCCACAATTGCTTCTTGAGAAGATAATGGAGAGCTGCCTTCTTGAACCACTGCTGTCTACATGGTGAAGGCACAGCGCTGTTAGGAAGGGAGTTCTAGACTTTTGATTCAGTATCCTTGAAGGAACGGCAATATGGTTCTAAGTCATGATATTTCTAACCCCCAGGATGTTGCTTGTTGGGGGCTCAGTGAGAGTAATGCCATCACTAGTAATGGAGGACAGGTAGGTAAACTGGTTAAAAAGACATATGGGCTACTTACTTTTCAGAGTCAAGGCATTGAATACAAGAGCAAGGAGGCTATAGTGGAGTTGTATATAATGTTAGTTAAGTCACAGCTGGAATACTGTGTACGTTTCTGGCCTCTACACTGTAGGAAGGGTCTGATTGCACGAGAGAGGGTGCAGAAGAGATGCAGTAGGATGTTGCCTGGGCTGGTGCAACTCCGCTATGAATAGAGAATGTAGACTGGCGTTGTTTTCCTTAAAGGTGAGGTGGAATCTGATTGAGGTGTACAAATATCTAAAGTACACATACAGGGTAGATAGGAAAAAGCCTTTCCCCTTAGAGGGGTCAGTAACCAGGGGACACTGTTTTAAGGAAAGGAGCAGGAGGTTTAGAAGGAAGTTGAGGAAAAATGTTTTCACCCAGAGGGTGGTGGATATTTGGAGTTCACTGCCTGAAAAAGTGGTAGATTGGGACCCTTCAAGACATTTCCTAAGTATTTAAAGGAACACTTGAAATGCAATAGCTGGAACATTGGATTAGAATTGATGGATGTTTGATGTCCAATGTGGGCACAATGGGCTGAAGGTCTCTTTCTGTGCTGTTGTTTTATTCCAGCTTGTAATCTTCTTGTGGATAAAAGCCAATCAACTGCAGAACCTATTGCCTCCATGTGTAATCTTGTGTTTACGCTACATTATTGTGACGTTTGTACACTGTGAAATATATGAAAATATGTCTTGGAATGATTGAGATTATCCTCTAATTGAGGGGTTTTGTTAGCAGAGGATCGTTTTGTTGGGATGCGAGAGATTAGGAAGGATTGGGACCCATAAAGAGGAAGCGTGAAAGGAAAACATGGAATATTGTATAATGCACTGTATGTGATCTGTATGCATCATGTCTCAGTTAGGAGTATTTGTCTTATTTTCTTTCTCCATTTGATTTCAGAATCATAGTGGTTTTGTTGCTGCCCTCCTGAAGACCTTTGAGCAAGTGAAGGTGAGAAATCAGGAAAGGAGCTGATTTAATGCTATCCGTTCAGCCAGCTGGAGCTGCATGAGACTGTGCGGTGTGCTCCACTCTGGGTGTCGACAGGAATTTAGGATGGAGAAAGCTGCCATTCCAGAGCAGATGGCTTTCTCAAGAGATTATTGAGCAGTCACCCAGAGCATTTATTAACGTGCAGAACTATTGGTCTGTCCTTTGATAGCATCCAGGAGAAAAGAGGAAAGTTGAAACTATAAGTGCTTTCAGATGCTGCCATTATGATGGTAAACACCAAAAGGATGAACCCAGCCTTTGGAGGAAACTTGCCCTGTCTAGAGGATCCTTTTATAAGGGATTTTGTTTTCCCTTGGCCCACGCCTCCTGAAGGTAGACTCTGATTGTTGCTGTTACACTCCACACATAAAGAACCCTGCTCAAATGGTCATTATTCATTTATGAACCTCAGTAGTCTAAGATTCTCTGCCAGACACTTGGTCTTGGTGTCAGGAGGCTATTTGGCCCATCAAGTCAATACTGGCACTCTGAGAAATCCAGTCAGTCCAGTTCTGTGCTCGATCCTCATGCCTCTGTAAATTCATTTCTTCTTGCCATCACTCCTCATCTCCAGCCTCCTCATAACTTGTGACTTTCAGTTTTAGTCTCTGCTACCTCATAACATTCTTCTCCTCTCCCCACGTCTCTTGACCCAAAGCAAAAAATTTGGCGGCAAAAACAGAAAATGCAGAAGATACTCAGCAGGTTTAGCAGCATCTGTGGAGGGAGAGAAGCGGAGCTAAGGTTTCAATTTGATGTCCTTTTGCCAGAACTGGGAATTACGAGGGAGGTTATGAGCAAGGGATGGATGGGACAAGGACAATATGGGGTGGAAGGTTTCAGAGATGGACTAACAAAGGAGATCGTCCTGCAGGGTCACAGGGAATTGTGTTGGAGCAAGAAATAAAGAAACAAACAATGCACCAGGGCAAGTAATAAGAGAAAAACTGAAACGAGCAAGGAATAGGCAACAAAATGGGGTTACCAAACACAGATTGGGTAATGGCTCTATTCAGTCTACAATCATGATGTTGAGCTCCCAGCAATCTCTCATTTTAATTCTCCACCTTGGCCTGACACCTCTGTCCTTGATCTACGCTGTTTGAGTGAAGGTCAACGCAAGATTGAGGAGCAGTGCTCAATTTCTGATGAGGCACTTTACAGCCTTATGGACTCAACAGCGAGTTCAAGCATTTCTGATCATTCTCTCATTTTGCTTCCACGGCAGTAACATCCACCAGTCAGCCATGAATTTTTCTCGTTCACTGGGGCCCTTACTTCAGGATGCTGTCCATGTCACCTGACTTCATGTTTAGATCAGGCCAGGACATAACACAGGCAGCTGTAACTTTTCTAACCCCTGATTTACAAGGATACATCCCCTGCTGCCTAGCAACACTTGCTTGCCTTCAGTAATTTTCTCATTATCCCTAAACTATCTTGCCTCCTGTTAATTACGTTATTTATTGTAGCATTGCAATTACAGTATAAACATCACCCATCAAAATTGAATCTATTCTATTACTCATGTCTTAATTTTATATTGGGCTTTATAACAAAACCTGTTGTTTCTCCTCATCTCAATAAAGATTTGTTACCTGATGACAGGAATGTTTTACCAGTGTTGTCTTGGCAACCTCTCTTCACTGGAACGCTTGTCTTTCTAAGTCAAGTCAAACCCACATTCCCACTTTAGATATTATTTCAGCTATTATATGTAAAAGAATCCTCAGTCATTTTAGGTTCATATTTGTCCAAAACCTGTAGTTGGCAGACTATTTGACTGTAAGATCATCACAAACTGGCCCAAATTGATTGCCCATTGCCCTCGGACAGTGACGCTTCCAGGTGAAAAGCAATAGGAATAATAATCACGGCTTTTTCTTTAACCTTTCCTCCGTAATTGTTGCCATGGTGACATGAGTAAGAAAAAATATCTGGCACAGAAAGCCAGTCTCAGTAATGGTGACCATGAAACTATCATCAATTGTGATCAGAAACACATCTGATTCACTGTTGCCCCTTAGAGAAGGAAATCTGCCACCTCACCTGTTCTGTGACTCCAGACTGACAGCAATATAGTACACTCTTTACTGCCCTCTGAAATGGCCTAGGGAGCTTCTCAGTGTAAGTGCAGTTAAAAGTTAGGTAATGGCTTGCCAATGACACCCACGTCCTGTGCAACAATGTTTTGAAAAATGAATCTTTTTATTCCGACAAAAGGAGAATCTACTGCTTCTTTCTTGTGTCCTCTCTCTAGGATGACGCTGACCTGAAGGAGATTATCTGCTCTACCAAGCCTTTAATAAATCAAATTCCTATTGACAGCATAGCCCCTCACTGGACAGAACTTCAGAGGAACACAGCCCTCACAATACTGATGGCACACTGTAAGTTTTCTTCTCAGTCTAGTCACAACTTACGATGTACGTTTTTAAAAAAAAAGTTATAGCTTTTTTGGAGATACGTTGGTGTCATTTGTCACAAATCTCCTCAAAGATCGTATCTTATTGAGGGATAAACTTGTATTAAAAAAGCACCCTTTTTCAGGAATGCTTAAACAATATTTTGGGATATGTTATAATTACTGCAGATGCTGGAAATCTGAAACAAACACAGAAAATGCTGGAGAAACCCAGCAGGTCCAGCAGCATCTGTGGAAAGAGAAACAGAATTAACTTTTTGAGTCTGATGTGACTCTTCTTCAAACTTGGAACGTTATTCTGCTTCTGTCTCCACAGATGCTGCCAGACCTGCTGAGTTTCTCCAACATTTTCTGTGCTTATTATTGTATATGAATGCTTGGAGACGTGACACATTTTTTTTTCCCTTATTCATTAACTGGATGAGGGCATCGCTGGCCAGGCAGCATTTATTGCCCAGAGGGCAGTTCAGAGTCAACCACATTGCTGTGGGTCTGGAGTTACATATAGGCCAGACCAGGTAAGGATGGTAGTTTCCTTCCCTAAAGGACATTAGTGAACCAGATGGATTTTTCCGACAATCGGCAATGGATTCATGGTCATCATTAGACTCTTAATTCCAGATATTTCATTGAATTCAAATTCCACCAGCTGCCGTGGCGGGATTTGAACCCGTGTCCCCAGTCTCTGGATTAACAGTCCAGCGGTAATACCACTAGGCCATCTCCTTCCCCTGACATGGGAAATTTAGTGCGTGTGGGAGCGATAGGTGTGTTTGCCCCCTTGGGTTTTCACACCTTACGTTGGGGTCTGGTGCTGGGGTCATTTCCAGAGATTGATCAGCACGAGTCAGCAAAAGCTGTTATTGAAGGAAGCCACGTGTTGAACAGACCACCCCATTGAGGCTTATCAAAAAGACACCTCTTTTCTGATGATTCCAATCTGGAATGTCCCAACCTCCTGACTGATGGCTGAATCTCTGGGCAGGAATGGATGGGACCAATCAATCTTAATGCAGTAATGCACATGAACAAACTTTCACACCTCTATAATCATGCATAACTTTGTTTTTTTAGCAACATTCCCAAGCTTTTAGTGTTTCCACATAGGTTTCGGGCAGCACATATTAAGTAAGATAGCTCCCTGGTTTTTATTGTTGAATTATCAGTGTTTTTTTTTCTCCCCCATTTTATTGGGGTCAGTGAGTGATTCTGGGGCCATGGGTATGTTGTACAAAAGGGCATTCCTTCATGTACAAGCCTAGGCAGCATGTGTTAACAGGGTCTTCAAAATTTCTCTTCGTCTTTTCCCCTTCCAGTTGCTGAGTGTTTGTATGAAACAGAGACCAATAGATTTTGGTGTTTTGGCAAATCAAGTGATATGGGGATTGGGCAGGAAGATGACATTGAGGAGGTCATCCATATTGAATGGCAGAGAAAGCTTTCAAATGGCCAAATAGCCCATTCCTCCAGTTTCTTAAGAGACCAAATCCCAGTCTTGTCTCCACGTACACTTTTTCAATTGTGGGGGGTGGTCACTAGAGAGTGATATGTAAAGGAGGCCTGAGGAAAAAGGTTTGCTCAGTCTGTTTCTACGACCTCTCTACGTCTGTCCTGACTGAGCAGGCCACTGAACAAACCAGAGTTTGAACGGAAATGATTCCCATTATTCTATACAAATGGATGACCAAATGAATTTCCCAACTGAGCAACAAGGCGGCAAGTTACCTTTTTAACAAACAAAGCCCACAATTGGCAGCTCAGCTCAGTCCAGGTATGTGCCCTTCTTTTCCATGTACAGTATCTCCATTTATAGCTGTGGGACTTTGTTGCTGGAAGTAATGCCTTGCTGTATCTTCTGCTCAGTTGCAGATCATATAAAGAAATTCGCTGCCGAGGGTGACTCTGTGCTCACTGACTTTGAAAGAAATTGTGAATCAAATAACCAAGTATGTATCTTTTTTGATTTCATGTCCTGACACAAACAGGCTCCGATGTGTTCTGGAATGGATGTTTCTTTGCAGATTCTGTTATGCCTCACGGGAGTAGTGTGCTAAAAATGAAGCCCTGCTGTTCTCGGAGTCATCACAAAAGCTAAAGATCTCCCAATTTCCCTGTCTTTTAGGCCCATAGTGACAGAAAGCAAGGTTGTAGTTTCTGTACTCAATGCAAATTAGTATTTATTCCAAGTAAATAGATTCTAACTACAAGTAAACAATAATGAACTGTCAACATGTAACACTAATAGTTAAAACTCTAACCCCGTCCTTTAACAGACACCCATATATCCACATACATATATAAATGCGCGTACATGTACACACACACACGTACATGTACACACGTACACACACGTACACACACACACGTACATGTACACACACACACACGTACATGTACACACACACACACGTACACACACGTATACACACACACACACACACACACACACACACACACACACACACACACACGTACATGTACACGTACACACACACACGTATACACACCACACTAAAGAAATGGGTGTTATGGACAGAGGGAAAACTGGGAAAGCAGTGCAGTGGTCTCTGTTCACAGGGTCTATGAAGATGGTTTTTGTGCTGATTACAATGCTGCTTCTCCTGATGCATTAACTGGTTTGCAAGAGGCTCGTTCACTTATAAAAGGCATCTGACTTACTAATTAAAAGTCACTGCTTACAGCAATTGCACAAGGGAAGATAAACTGGTTTTCTTCAGGCTTTTACGGAGAACAGAGAGAGTACGTGAGCTGGTGGAGGTCTGATGACTTCTTGTTATCTTGCTTACAGCCCCAAGCTGTTGAGTTAGCTGGGAAACAATCACATCATTGTTGGCAGGCAGAAGGCCTTTGTCATTGATAACTGCTCATGAGTTTACAGACCAATCAGCTACTTGTTGCCAGTTGAATCTCCATTTGTACACAACACTGGCTGCAGCTTGTCTGCAGCTTCTCCAACCAGTGGTCGAACCAGCAACTGTGTAAACAGCACTTACAATGAGCGTCAGGTTACTTGCTTTCAAAATCATGCACTAATCATTCAGCAATCTTTGGTTTTTACAGCAGTTCTTTTCCCATCTCAGTTCATAATCAAAAATACTTGAAAAAAATTAAAAGGTGGTCTTTACAATTCATAGAGTAATCACGGCTGAGAAGGACGCCATTCATCCATGGAGTCCACGTATAGAGCAATCTCGTCATTGCCCGTATTCATGCATTCTCCTGGAAGTTTATCTCCCTCAGTGTGGACCCAGTTTCCTTTTGAAATTGTTGTTTTGCTTGCTGCACCCTAGTAGGTAGTGAGTTCCAGAATTTTGCCACTTATTACTGTGTTAGCGAGTGTTAACAGAATGTTCTTCCTCAGCTTCCCACCCGCATCTCCTGCATAAAACCATAAATCTGTCTCCCCTATTTTTTTTGTACCATCAGCTAGTGGGAATAGCTTTCCTTTTGGCTACCTTGTGTACACCTTTCATAATTTTGTAGACCTTAGTCAGATTTCCCATCAATCCCTTTGTTCCAAGGTGAACAACCCCATCTTCCCCAAATGGAACGTGGCTACCTTCCCTCATTGCTGGAACCCTCTGTTCCTCATCCTCTCAAGGATCTTCAGATCCTTTCTAAACTGTAGTGATCAGGACTGAATGCAATATCTATCTATAGCTCAACCAGAACTTGTATAGGTTCAACTGAAAGTTTCAGCTTTTGAGCTCAATACCTCAGTCTGTGAAGCCAAAGGCCCTGTATGCTTTGCTAATTACTTTTCTGATGTGTTCTGAAAGCTTCACAGACATATTCCCATCAATGTCTCACACCTCCTCCCCAGGTCTCTCCGTCCTTCAGCAATTCTTTAAAACTGTATAATTAATTATATTGACTGTCCACATCTCTTCTGCCAAAAGGCATCATTTCATATGTACAAATGTGCAGGAAATACCTCTGTAGTCTCGCAGCCTCTAGACTGGGCCTTTGCCAGAACAGAGAGTCTGCCAGACCGTGGGAGGTTGTGACTCCCCTAACCCTCGCCTGACTACTATATTTCACTGTCTTCCTGCCCCAGCAGAAGCACTGCTGCCCCTGCACCCATTCCCTTGCAAAACCCAACTACTGTTCGCACTTAAATAAAAACCGAACAAACTGCGGATGCTGCAAATCAGGAACAAAAATAGAAATTGCTGGAAAAGCTCAGCAGGCCTGGCAGCATCTGTGAAGAAAAAGTCAGAGTTAATGTTTCGGGTCCGGTGACCCTTCCTCAGAACTGATGGTGGCTGGGAAAAAGTCAGTTTATATGCAGAAGATAGGGAGGGGGATGGGATAGGGAGTAAACGATATGATAGAGCCTACAGAGAGAGAAGAGCAGTTGGACAGACAAAGGAGTCAATAATGATCTGGCTGGGGGTGTTAATAGTTGTTAATGGGGACTGTTAGTCGCTAACAGTGTTTGTATGTAATGGCAGGCTATGTGGTAATAAGTGTGTGGGGTAGGGGGCTGGGACATAGAAGAGTTTAGGCCCTAAAACTATTGAACTCGATATTGAGTCCAGAGGGCTGCAGAGTCCCCAAGTGGAAAATGAGGTGTTGTTCTTCAAGCTTGTGTTGAGCTCCACTGGAACATTGTGCAAGCCAGAGACAGAAATGTTGACCAGGGAGCAGGGTGGTGTGTTGAAGTGGCAGGCAACAGGTAGCTCAGGGTCTCTTTTACGAGCAGACATAGATGTTCTGCAAAGCGGTCACCCAGTCTACGCTTCATTTCCCCAATGTAGAGGGGACCACATTGTGAGCAGCGAATGCAGTAGACTAGATTCTGGGAAGTGCAGGTGAAGTGTTGCTTCACCTGGAAGGTATGTTTGGGCCCTTGGACACTGGGGAGGGAGGAAGTAAATGGGCAGGTGTTGCAGGGGAAGGTGCCATAGGGCTGTGGGGAGGTGTTGGGGGTGAAGGGAGTGTGGAGCAGTGTGTCCCGGAGGGAACGGTCCCTGCGGAAGGCGCACAAGGGAGGGGAGGGGAATATGTGTCTGGTGGCGGAAATTGCTGCTAATGATCCTCAGGATGCTGGTGGGACGGTAGGTAAGGACAAGGAGAACCCTACTGCTTTTGCGGGAGGGAAGAGAGGGAGTGAGGGCGGAAGTGCGGAAGATGGGTCTGCACCCAGTTGAGGCCCTGTTGACAACGGTGGTGGGGAATCCTTAGTTGAGGAAGAAGGTGGACATTTCAGAGGCTCCTTTGTCGAAGTGGGCCCCATCTGAACATATGCGACAGAGACAGAGGAACTGAGAGAATGGGATGGAGTCTTTACAGGGAGCAGGGTGTGGGGATGTATAGTCCAGGTAGCTGTGGGAGTCAGTCGGTTTATAGTGAGCATTAGCGGCCAGACTATCTCCAGAAATGGAAACAGAGATGTTGAGGAAGGGAAGGGAGGAGTCAGAGATGGACCAGGGGAAAGTGAGGGCAGGGTGGAAATTGAAAGTGAAATCGATGAACTTTTCCAATTCCGGACAAGAGAGGGAAGCAGCAGCAATGATATCATTGATATTTCGGAGAAAGAATTGTGGGTGGAGGCCAGAATGGGACTGGAACAAGGAATGTTCCACCTACCCTTCGAAGAGATAGGCATAACTGGGGCCTATGCAGGTACCCATGGCCACCCTTCTGACCTGAAGAAAATGAGAGGAGTTAAAAGAGAAGTTGTTGAGGTGAGGATGAGCTCAGCCAAGCACAGGACGGTCGTGTGGTTGGGGATGGTTCAGGTCTTTGTTCCAGGAAGAAGCGGAGACCCCTAAGACCCTCCTGGTGGGGAATGGGCGTGTAAAGGGATTGCACATTTAGGGTAAAGTGGAGGTGGCTGGAACCTGCAAACTGGAAGTTTTGAAACCGGCATAAGGCATCAAATGAATCATGGATGTATGTGGGCAGGGATTGGACTGGGGAGAGAAGACTGAGTCAAGCTAGGAAGAGATGAGTTTTGTGGGGCAGGAACAGGATGAAACAGTGGGTCTGCCTGGACAGTCCTGTTTGTGGATTTTTGGAAGGAGGTAGAAGCAAGTTGTGTGGGGGTGGGTGACTATCAGTTTGGAAGCAGTTGTGGGGAGGTCATCAGATGAAATGAGATCAGTTACCATATTAGATACAATGGCCTGATGTGCCATGGTGGGGTCATGGTCCAGGGGAAGGTAGGAGGAGGTATCTGAGAGCTGACGCTCAGCCTGTGCAAGGTAGAGGTCAGTACGCCAGACTACAACAGCACCACCCTTATCGGCAGGCTTAATAACAAAGTTAGGGTTAGATCTGAATGCATGGAGTGCAGTCAGTTCGGACGGAGATAGGTTGGATTTGATGAGGGGGCCAGAGAAATTGAGGCGACTAATATCACGTCGACAGTTCTCAATGAACAGATCGAGTGCAGGTAAAAGGCCAGATGGAGGGGTCGAGGTGGAGGGAGAGTGTTGGAGCTGGGCGAAGGAGTCTGTGGGACGGGGAGAGGACTCTTATCCAAAGAAATGGACACGGAGGAGAAGACGGCGGAAGAAGAGTTCGACGTCATGTTATGCCCGAAATTCATTAGGGTGGGGACGCAGAGGGATAAAGCTGAGGCCTTTGCCGAGTACAGAACGTTCAGCATCAGACAGCGGAAGGTTGGGAGGCATAGTGAATACCCGACAGGAGGTGAGGTTGGGAGAGGGGATGGAGTCAGAGGGAAGGGGAGGAGAGGAAGGTTCCTCACTATGTGGTCTTATCTACATTGGGGAAATGAAGCGTAGACTGGGTGACTGCTTCGCAGAACATCTACGTTCTGCTCGCAAAAAAGACCCTGAGCTACCTGTTGCCTGCCACTTTAACACCTCACCCTGGTCCCTGGCCAACATCTCTGTTTCTGGGATAGTAGGAACTGCAGATGCTGGAGAATCTGAGATAACAAGATGTAGAGCTG